CTTCAAAAGCTTCATTGTTTCTCATATCTACAAACTTATTTTTTGTAACATCATATTTGCAAACAAATCATCTATATCTTCTCGTTGCAAACAGTTGCAAACACAAAAATATTAAATTAACAACTTTGACAAAAATAACATTAGAAAAACAAATGAATGTTTTTTTTATTAAAACTAATAGTCCAATAGCTTCTGCGCTAACATTACCTGTATGTTCTTTAGTTTCTCCTAGATTTATATCTTCTAGAGTAATTAGATTAGCAGAAAAAGATTCAATATTAGCATCAACTGCATGCTTCCTACTTGCTTATCTTGTAATAGAAAGTCAGACTGTCTACTGTTGATTCATATAAACGTTTCTGGTGCTCTTGGAGAATATGAAGTTGTGGTAAACTAGATGTAAGGTACGTATACAATTTTTTAGCTGTGCCTATAAACATCTGGACATCGCTATTTACAGACATTGCTTTAATGGTCACCAAATTTAAAACATGAGCACAACAATGAACATAGATGGCATTTGGTGAATGCGCTTTTATTCAAGTTTGAAGACCATTTTTAATTCCAAACATTACATAAACATCATCATATGCTTGTTCTCTACAGAGTTTAATATCAATGTTTCTCTTTTCTGAGTTTAATATCAATGTTTCGAAAGAAAATATTTTAAAACCTCTGTTTTAAAATAATTTCTCCCCGGTGGGAAATCGGCTAGCGAATAGCTAGCTGTAATCGTAACTATAAAGACAGCGATTTGGCCACGAGGATCGGCAGCTTTTTTAAGTTAGCGAAAAGCTATCGATATTTGTAAAGTCAAAGATAGCAATTTGGCTACGAAGACAGTTAGCTTAATAAGCTTAAGACCCACAGGCTTTTGTAGCTAGCGTCATATCGTAATAAAATCGCAGTCTAAAAAATTTTAATATGCAGCTATCAACCTACCATAGATTTGTAGATATTTTGTAGCTAGCTACAAAGCTACGATATGTAGCTAGCGACACATTGCTACAAAATCGCCAAGTTTAAAATTTAATTATTTTCATAATTATAATAGAGTCAACACTAAAAATCGAATTTTTAAAGATGTTAAAGACATTAGGAAAAAAAACAATAAGAAAAAAAAAATCGCTACAAATCGCTATAAAGCTAGCTAATCGCTCGCTAGTCATTAGTTCATTTCCCAACGGGTCTCTCCCTTTTTTTTTAAAACCTCTGTTTTAAAATAATTTCTCTCTCCCTTTTTTTTAAAACCTCTGTTTTAAAATAGTTTCTCTCTCTCTCTTTCCATTTGTACTTATTTTTATTCTTTTTATTTTATTTTTCATTTATATATATATTTTTTTATATTTTAATTTTATTTATTTAATTTATATTTTTTTTTTTTGCGAATTTTTTTTTTTTGTTAAAGTTTTTGATGGTTCCGTTTGATCGTTCTAGGGGACATGGGGGATGGGGGAGGAAGCTCACCCCCCCTCTACTCCCTATACTAAATCCGCCACTGGGGAGGGCTTAGAGTTGTTAGGGGCCCTGGCCAAATTTTTCAAATTTTTTATTTTAAAAGTTGTCATTCTTAAAAGTAATATGCATGTATATAAACATAGCAACATTAGCATTAATTTTTGCAATCATTATATAGCTAAGAACTCAAAACTCTTTAGACTATTTTTTTAGCTTTAATAATAATTTTGACTATTACTTCAAATAGTGACCTTTTTATTTATTTATATCTAAAAAGTTAAAACAAGCTGTATTAACTCATAATTATACAATTTAGTTAAGTGGTGAGTATCATTTTGTAAGGTTTTAAAGCAAAGTAAAATAGTGAAGCTATTGTATAAAAACAATAGCTCACTTTAAGAAAATGATTGCTAAGACGGATGTCGAGGTGGCAGTGTAGCTATCTTCATTACTGATGTATTTATCTCTTATGAAGTTAATTAGTTTATAAAACTTTTCTCAAACAAGTTTTGGTATCTATAAAAATATCAATAAACACATACTTATATAGGTTATACATAGACCAAATGATGCTAATTTAATATAATATATCGCTGAGTCCTTCAAATTAGCTCAAAGCTTGATTAGAAAGCCCTTTGATGGCTTTCATTATTGGTAATTTTAACATATCTTTTCATTGTTGGTAATTTTAACATATCGCATTTCCTACGTCAAGATACCCTATGGTTGCTCAAACCATATGTTAGACCTGCATTTCACCAGTGTATTGACGCAATCTCGATTTCACTAATGCTTTAATTGTCTACTTCAAAACAGACTCGTGTTAAAATTAAGATATTTCAGAATAAATGGGAAACAAAATAAAAAAGTATAACAAATTATTCCCTAAAAAGCTCTACTAAAATGCGTAATTTAGGATCCAATATTTCATGTAGCACCAAGTAGAGCACACTTTTTCAAACAGTTGTCTCCAACTACAAATCCTTGGTATGCAAAAAGACATTCATTTTTATTAATGAAAATATGGCTCTCAAGTTATGTAATGTGTTTATTAGACCACACCATAATTATACAGTGTCTGTTTGGGCTTCTTATTTAAAAACTGATAAAACCTTGGTTGAATCTATTCAACGCAAAGCAACAAAATGGGCTTCCGGCTTAAGACATCTTTAATACTGCAAAAAACTAAGAAGATTGAATTTAACATCATTGAATAAGTGTTTTGATTGGGGCAGCAACTTTCCGCACTTTTTACAAATTGAACATTTCCGCATTTTTGGATTTTACCTGCGTCCACAATAACATATTATGATACAAGTTGCTCATTTACAAATATAATAGCAGCACTTATGTATATTTGACATTACTCATTAGCGTAGCAACTGCAAAAAGATCCTTAAACACATTAAAGATAACAAGGGTAACTATTTTAAACTAAATTTTAATTTAAAATTTAATTTTAAATTAAAATATTAAAAACTATTTTGTTTGCACTAGACCTAATAGCTACTGAAATTTGAATAAATTTGTAAATGTGGAAAGAAAAAAAAAAGTCTTTTTTTTTTCTTCTGACATTTAAGAAAGTGGGTCCCCATTTTTCAGGTATATATTGTTCCCAAGCTCCTATAACTGTAATTTTTTGTAAAACATTCTTATTTGATACCAGATATTACAAAATTTAAAGTTTGAACAATCTCTGGAAGTTACCTGTCTTAAACACAAAAAATCCATGACCTGCCCATTTAAATCCCTTTTTTTTGAAAGACGTTGATAGAATATTTTCGAAATTTAGATAATAGTATTATCTAAAATTTGAAAATCAAAGTATCGTGGTTTCAAAAATGCAAATTGTTTTTGGTGGACATTTTTTTCAAATAAATTATTTCTGCTATGGTGTGCCTACGGAAAAAAGCAAAGTACATAGATGCTTTTAAAACTTTAGGTGATTTAATACCACCACCTGATGAACTAGTAAATATACTGGAAACATATGTCTGTGACTTATACGGGGCTGAACAAAAAGAATCAGTTAATTCTGCTTGTTACATAAGTCTGGTAAATTTAGTGAAGAAGCGTTACAACCAAATAAAGTTTCACTTGTTCTACACATGAATAGAGCTAATTATGATGATTTTATCAGAAAACGATCACATGTAGCAATGAATAACCCACCAAGTTCTTTTAGGAATGGTTGGTTTAATGATCAAGGTTCAGTTGCCATATTTTCGATGGAATTGCTTGCTGCACCAGATTCGGCGCTTGATTTTGTTCAGTTATTGCTGTGATTGTTCCACTAGAACATGTTCTTGTAATAAAGCTTGCGTAGTTTGCCCTGATTTTTGCAAATTTTGTAGCAATCATGGTGATAACCATCTAGAAGTGAATGATGACAACCAATCAGTTGAATCATATGAGTTTGAGTCTGATAATGATAGCAATTTAGATTAGATTAATAAACATAAAGCAAAATAAACATCAGCAGCAGTAGTATATATAGGAAATTTGGTTTATAAAAATATACTTTTTTTAATTACAGCTCTCTTTTAGAACCTAGATTAACTTATATTAAAAAGTATTCAAATTTCAAGATACTTTTGGCAGTTTACTAAAGAATATACTAACTAAATTTGAAATCAAAGTTATTAATTATTTGGGCATAATTAAAAAAAAAAGAAAGTCATTTTAATTTTTTTTAATATAAACCGTCCTGGTTTCTATTAAACTAACAAAACTATGGGATGGTTTCTATATACAGCAAAGCTTTGACCTCAATTATCCGGTTATTTGACCTCAATTATCTGGTTATTGGAACCACGAAAATCTGGGAACTTTTTTTTTTGTGAGTTTTTTTAGATCTTCAAAAAATCTTTTTCCGAAAATTAGTTTGTAATTGTGTACAATATCTTTTTTTTGAAAGCTTTTTCTGCATCAGACACCAACCTATATGTTTCTTTTATGATTTCTTTTTTTAAGCGTCGTATAAAATCTTTTTTTAAAAGTTTTTCTATTTTTTATGCTAAACATTTTTGATGGAAAAGTTAGAATAATAAAAATAAAATGTTCTATATTTTTAAAACATTTGTAAAACGCCATTATCAAACCTAATTTTTTTACAATTGTTTTTATGTAATTTTACCCAACTTCATAAGTGGTTTTTATAATGTTTTATTACTTCTTTTATCTTATCCCTTAAACGATATCTTTAGGCTTGTTTAAATATTAAAAAATGATAAAAAGCGGCTCAACCAAAATGGCTTACTGCTTACATTAAAGGCGTGCCAGTTTACGCTTTAAAACAGGGCATGGTATACCATTAAAAAAAAAAACAAATAGTATGAATCAATTACTAGTTTTTTAAATTTAAACTCAAATGACAAAATGAGAAAAATTACCTAAAATTAACAAAACACCTTACTTGCATTAAAAAATCATAACCATACCTTATTCTAATATATAAAATATAAAGTAAAAAATTTTCATATCTAACTGCATACCTTAATAATTATCTAAAATGACAATAATGCAACAGTTTTCAAACTTACCAAAAATAGATAAAAAAACAAAGGATTCTTTATCAGACTTTTTTGAAGGATTCAGGTTAACAAGAAACTTTAACAAACTATTTTGATTTTTATTGGCTAATCCACAAATCATTGATAAACAACTCTCCAGCCTCTTATTGGCCATAATCTCTTCACTACTTAAACAATTATATGCATATACAGATGCACAAAACTCCATTATTGTCAAATGTGCAAATTGGTAATGATAACCCAGATCTGTTTCAATCCTTTCTATAAATCCAAAAAAATTTTCACTTTTACTAAAGTCACCAATAAAAGTTTGAATTTCTTCTTTGGAAAAAATGACTTTATTTTCAACAAACAGTTTATATGCAATTTCACAAATATTCAAAATATATTTTTTATTGGAATCGTCTTCCATTATCTCATATATCAATTTATTATTTTTGATGATGTGTTTTTGCAAAAAGTATAAAAAAATATTTGCATACAAATCTGTCATAGTTAAGAAAAAATTCATTTTTTTTGAATCACTAATAATTTTACACATGGAAGATAAATAAAATGGAACAGATGCCATGGCTTTTGCAATTGGAGACTCTTTTAAAGTTGCCTTTACAACATCTTTTTTTTCTTCCATAACATGATTTTCTACATAATTATTTACTCCATTTTCATTAAACCCCATTATTTGAATGGTTAATTTATCACTATGCTCTGTAGATATACTTTGATATTGATCAATAGCATAAACTCTACCAGCAACAACATGTTTGTATTTTTGAATTTCTGCTAAAGCATTAACAACTGGATAGTTACACTTTAAACTTGGATTTAATAATTCATTTAAATATTTAAACTCATCTAATCCATCAATTATAAACAGTGAAGTTTGATTACTAATATTAAAATCATTTATAATATCTTTGTAAAAAACACTTAGTAATTCATTAATATTAGAAATATTTTGATATTGATTAAGTCTTCTGCATTCAAAATAAAACACAAGTTTGACGTCGTTCCAAATTGAATCATTTGACCAATCAAGCAGACATTTTCTTAGCAACCATGTTTTTCCAATACCAGCTATTCCAGATATTAAAACCACAGATTTTTCTTTCATAAATAAGTCACTATATGGAATTGGCGTATAATTCATTTGCTTTTCAAGAAACTTCTTCCGTTCAACACTAAAAACAGCATCCATTTGAGTATTCACTGCATCAACAATACATAGATCAACAAATTTTTGCATTAGATCAACATTTGCAGGTACTTTTAATAGTGGTTGATGTTCACTAATTTTCCCATAATGTTTAAGATAAAATTTTTTTAGTTCAGCAGATACTGTTGATAAATCTGAATAAAATAAAACAACATCTAATTAATTCATTGACACAACTTTGCTAATGTTCATAATAATGATGATGATATTTACTGCAATTAAATACAGACATAAAGTAATTATAAAATACTTAACAAAAACTTTGTGATTAATCTAACAAATCTAAATAAATCTTAACAACTTTAGTTGATTTAAGAATAAACATTCAACACAGTTTCAGTTATTATAATTGATAAGCTTTTTTATTTTTATTCTGTCTCACAAATTTTTTACTTAAGCTTTAAATTATTACTTCTGATATTTTGAATAAAATTGATTTAAAGTTATTACTTCTAACAAACATTTTAATTTGAAATCTATTTAATAATCACTTTTAACAAACTACTTACTAAAGGCTAGCTAAAGTCAAACAACTTAGTCAAATCGTTTTACTAAATCTTTTGAAAAATTTAAACATTTTAAAAACATTAACATTAAAGTTAATGCTTTAATCTTTAAGATTTTAAAATGTTTAAAATTTTATTTAAAATGTTTAAAATTTTAAAAATTAAATAAAGTACTAAAGTTTCTCAACATAAAAATTCAGGTGAATATTATGAACTGAATTTTTATGAACTCCACATTTTTATTGATGGTTATTAAGGTTAAAGTTAGATAAAACAAATTTTAATTTAGAGTTATTATATTTTTGTTTTTATGTCTGAAAAAAATCTAACTTAATTTATTAGTTGTAGAGATGCCATGAATAGTGATTTTGCAGAACACCAAATATTCAGGTTGACTCTCATCCGATTATCCGAATATTCGATAAATTTCACGGGTGACAGTCTCCAGCCTGCATTAGTAAAGTGAATAGTGAAATCACAGGTAATTAAGTGTATTTATTTTATTTGCATGTTTGGGTATGTCGTTTGTTGACTGTTTGTAACACCAAAATTTGTTCCTTATAGGTTGTACTTCTTACAACCAATTACATAAGATATATAGACATTATGTGTAATTCTATAGTAAAAGTTATAGCGTATTTTGTGTTGTTTGCAGTTAATATTAGTTGTTATTGTATTTATAATGTAAATTGTCACTCAAATGTGTAAATACATAAATTGAATTTACTAAATTTAATTCATTTATTTATAAATTAGATAATTTAATTTAAATTACCTATTTGAAAATGTATGGAATTTGTAGGAAAGACAATAAACAGTTTGTTTGCTGTGGAATTTTTTGTTAAACTGTGTTAGGATATTAATGATCCAATTCAATAAAATATTATTAATTGGAGAGATTATTGTCTTAAACAACTAACTATTATCACTTGTTGAACAAGCTGGCTTCAACAAGCTTATGGAAAAGGCAGTATTGTAATACAAAATACCTTGTCACACCTTCATGAGTGAGAAAATTATCCCCGATACATTTAATAGAACTTGCACTAGAATTGAAGCTAAAGTCTGCTGGATTAACTAAAAAAATCACCCCAACCTAGAAAAAAATACTATAAAGCTAAAACTTTGCACAAGTGAATATAAACATAAGATATTTCACCAAAAAAAAAAGTCCCATCAATTGAAGCATTGGAAGGTGTACTTTTAGGCATAAATAAAAAGGGATAATAACTTTTAGGGGTAATAACAGCAATCATTAAAGAAGAATATTTAAATATAGTATGCAGATTGGGTGAATTTCATACCATGAGTTAAATTGGAAGCATTGGTAAACTTATGGGAGGATCTGGTTTGGAGTAATTGTTTAATGAGATATACGCAGAAAAAAAGTATTATATATGATGTCCGCAAAAGCTATTGCAAGGTCGCTTCAAGTACACATTTTAGCAGATAGTACCCTTAAAATTATACTCCTGAATATCCTTGTTGATGGCAGAGAGATTGATCTTTCCTCGTTTAACCGATTTTTGAAAAAGCAATGAAAAGTACTTTAACAGAAGATGAATTTATAGAAACAAAACAATTTATTATTGTTTCAAGTAAAGTAGACAATTTCATCCAATCTCTGAAATCACAATCTAGAACTGCAAAACTCAGGCTTCAAAATACGGAATTGTTACAATCGCAAAAAGTATTGTTTCACCCAGTGCTGAATTAAGGGGGCTAGTTTAAGAGGGAGGAGGTGCTAGGGCTATAGTCCCAGGTCCCCCAAAAGAGTCAAGAGATTTTATTATTAAATGCTTTTCCGCGGTGCTCTGTGATAAGACTTCATAAGGACTCTGTCATAAGGACTTCTTGGTACACTCTGTCATAAGGACTTGGTGCACTCTGTCATAAGGACTTGGTGCACTCTGTCATAAGGACTTGGTGCACTCTGTCATAAGGACTGTCATAAGGACACTCTGTCATAAGGACTTCTTGGTGCAACTAAAATCAACTTAAAAAAAAAAGTTTTTTTTTAGTCATCTTCACGTGACATAGTGACACTTAAAAAAGGGCCCTGAAAAGTCCTAATTCGCCATTGGTTTCACCTAACCTGTTTTGGTTATCTTGGTTATTTCACCTTTATGACTGTTCAATAAATGTTTAAAATTAAATGATTTAAGCTTGTCCAGGTGTTAAATTCACCGCGAAGTTGGTAAGTCACCATCTTTAATGAAATTTTCAGTTATCTGAGCAAGTCTGTCATTTTTATATCATTAAGTTTGTATACATTTCGGTACAATGGATACAAACAGGAAGAAAAGACTTGATCAATTGAATTGGAAAATTAATTTTCATTGAATTGCATAACAAAGTCATTTCAAACAAAAATACATATAAACAATACTTTTTGTTTTGTCTCGTACTTGTTAACTTTATATTATATTGAGGTAAAATGTATTTTATTAACCTTTTTTTAGTTATTATTTAGAAATAATTATCTAAGCGGTTCATTATATTTCTTTTAATACTTCACAATATATTTCTTTGCATATCAAGAAATTGTTACTAATGTTTGATATTTTAGTTTAGCTTTTAATTTTATTTATGGCTCGCTAGATTAATGTATAAATCAATAATTATTTATGAATCTAATAAAAAGTTTATTATAGAAAAGTTTTAATATGGCCATTAGGTTAGCGAGAACGAGGATGATGCTGACTTGTCCTGTCTTTGGTATGCCTAAAGAGATGTTGCAAGTTGTTTTACCAACATATGAAGATGTAATGAAACATTACTTGCTTGTAAAACATTAACTGAAACCAACAGCTGCTTTGAAAGAGCCTACTATAACAGAAATCTCTGAAAAAGTTGCACAAGTTGTTGAAAAAATATGGTTAAAAGCATCACTACCAATGATTACTCATACACGGGTATTAAAAATGATTTACTCCTATCATGATGAATACAGAGAACTATTGCAAAACATCAGCGCAGTAATTATGATAGCAAAGTGAACGCTTTCAAAGAAGATACTAGTTTGACATCTGCACCTGTAAGTGTGTGTTTGTAACAAAACTCGCAAGGTTCCTCCTGCAGAGCAAGATTTTATCCAAGATAAGAGAACTCTCAAATTGATGTGCATTGGCAATGTTGATAAACTTGCATTAAATAAACTGGCCATGAAGTTCGTAAGAAAAAGTTTTGAGCAGCAGCGTAGAAATAAGCATCACAATGCCTTGTCTTTGGCTTCGGTTGGTGATTTTGAAAGTCTATCTACACTCAAAGTGATGGAGATGATAATTACATTAATAAAAGTAATATTTCCAATGTTTGTTCCATTGACATTATTAGTTCTTTGTATTTTCAATGTCGGCAACCACTTCCTGCATTAGCAAACGTCTGTGACCGGTATGGGATCTCAGATAGTGCCGGAGCTGCAATAGCAAATGCAGTTTTGGAAGACTTTGGTGTTGTTGATCCAAGTAAAATACGACAGGAGCGTAAGAGAAAACGTAGTCAACTAAAAACTTCTACAAATTCAAAAATAGTTAGTGGAATTTATTTTGATGGACGAAAAGACAAAACTCTTGAAAACATCAAGGAAGGGTTAAAGTTCTATCGACATAGTATTACTCAAGAGCACATCTTTTTAATCGATGAACCAGGGTTTAAATACCTTGGGCATTTATCACCATCTGGATCGTCTGCCTGTTTGATAAAATGTTCTATAGTCAACTTTATAACTATCAAAAATATTGACGTTAAAAGGTTTGTAGCTGTTGGATGTGACAGAACTGCAGTAAACACAGGAATTAAGGGTGGCGCAATAAGGTTGATGGAAAAAGAATATAACAAACCGTTGCAATGGTTGGTTTGACTTTTGCATGTAAACAAACTTCCTCTTCGACACCTGCTAATTTATTTGGATGGATCAACTACAGGACCAAAAGCATTTTCTGGCCCAATCGGTAAGGCACTTATTAATTATGAGAAATTGACAGTTGTTGAATTTGAAAAGATTGATGTAACTCTTCCAAAAGTTAAACTTAAAGCTTTGAGCACAGATCAAAAATATATGTGGGAAATGAGCAAAGCAATATCCAAAGGTGAGTGTTCACTAGCCCTATCAAAAAAAACTCCAGGGGTACTAAATCACTCTCGATGGCTGACAACAGTGAATAGACTTCTACGGTTATATATGGCGAGTGAGGATCCATCAACAAATCTGATCCATTTAGTAACTTATGTTGTAAGAGTTTGTTCTCCTGTTTGGTTTAGTATTAAGATGCATTCTTCATGCAAAGATGGTACTCGGATTTTTTTAAACTTATTCAACAGTCACGTTACTTATCGCAGGAACTGCGAGATATAGTAGATTCTGTATTACAACGTAACAGCTATTTTGCTCATCCAGAAAATCTCTTACTAGCAATGGTTAGTGACAAATGCCAACAAACTTGTGATTTAGGATTAAGGCACATTCTTAAAACGCAACAGGAAAAAGATCACACACTGCGTACTTTCAGTTTACCAAAGCTTAATTTAGATGCACATGATTACATAGAACTCATCAACTGGAAAGAAAATAAAATAACCGAGCCACTGTTGACAGCTGATGTGTCCGAGGAAGATATTCAATTGTT